ATATATATATATATATACATATATATAGGGTCACGCTCCGGTGAGAATGGTGCTTAATGAAAGAAATAAGAATACATTCCAATCATCGGATTGAATCATCCGAACGGTCAAAAAACCAACAGCAATTACCACTAATAAAGGGCAATGTAGGCATTTATTAACAATCCATAATCAATGGGACCCACCCCCACCAAAACACACCTCTTCACGTGCTAGACCCATCTCACTCAAATTCACTTTCTCTCTTCACCCCACCGCCTCTCTCTCTCTCTCTCTCTCTCACTCACACACACACAAACACCTCTGCAATTAAAAATCGGCTCCCTCAAATCACCGGCGTCTGCCCTTCGCGGCATTTGCAGCTACAACAATGGCGCCTCCTATGGCGACATGAACCGGAATTGCAGACTCTCCGTCGACCACGGAGCAATCAAACTCCACCGGCAACGTCGTCGACCGCCGGAGGGACTCTTAGAGACAATCAGAAGCGGCGGCGGCGGAGACACCAGCTTCGCCGTCGTCCTCGTCTACAGCGTACATCCCATCCGACGAAGGTTCCCATCTTCAGCATTAGTAGAATCTCCGGCGAGATTCGCCGATGGTGGCGGGGCGACTGCACATCAGGCGATAAACACTTCAATCGTGGTGGTCGGACGTGAACGAGGCGACGACACGTTCAGTTCAAGCCATGGCGTGGCGGGGCGATGACCTGTTCAACTCCATTCATGGCGGAAACTTGTTCTACCCGAAGTTGATTAATGGCGGAAACATGTTCAACTTGATTTGGGGATTAGGGTTAATTTTTTTATTATTTTTTTCAATTTGGTCGATTGAGACTTGATTTGGGGATTATGGTTAATTTAGTTTCTTTCTTTTTTTTTTATGAAAATTAGATATTGTTCAAGGACTTATTTGCAATTTCTTAAATTTTGATTTCACAAAATAATATAAGAAATAAATTATGATAATTATATAATAAAATGATAAATAAAGTTTTAATTATTTAAGATAATTCAATGTACAATTATATATATATTAAAACTAGTTTTCGAATACACATAATTTATATGAGAAGGTATAAATTAGCGCACTTTATATAGCATAATGTTGCACCTTATAAAACAACACGTTGCACTTTATCACCACAATCCACAATTAATGTCAACATTTGTCACCAAAACATTACTCAATATAAATTTATAAAACGGATCTACATAATATTTTAATATCCATCACATCAAAATTTCATTATTGCACCGTATATATCAACAAATTGCATTTTATATAACAGTACATCGCACTTTATAACACAACATGTTGCACCTTAAAACATCACGCTACATTTACCAAAATTGTTGTAATTATGCTAATCGATTGAATAATATTAGTTGGATAAATGTCGGATTTAGTTTTTTTAAAGAAACAAAATAACCAAACATGATGAACTATATGAAAAATATCACCGATTTTTTTTACTTATATTTTTTTTATGAAAATTAATAATATTTTTTATATCTATATTTTTATATATTGCGATTGCACGTTATGGTTACACGGGTTGCACTTAAATGTTTAACAGATTGCACAAAATCGTACGAGATCAACGAATAGAAATTCAGTACGGAATTTTGTATTTTGGGTCAGTTGTTATTATTATTTTTTTATATATCTGGTATTTCGGTGTAATTTTATTTTTTTATTCAAATAACCAAAATAAAAAATAGACTATATTAAAAATAATAATTTTTATACTTTTTTATTTAGATAACTGAAATAATCGAACGACCGAACTACATAAAAAATATTATTATTATTTTTTATTTTATTTGTAATTTATTATTTTTATTTTTGTTAAAATTATAATAAAATCTATCCACACACACACTGTATATTGCATCGTCAGTAAATTGAAATCTCTGGTTAGGAGCAATTCTCATAAAATTGTGGACATTCTCTATAATTATTGTTCATTTAATATATTAATGTGCAATTTATATATCATTAATGTTCATTTACTATTTTTTATAAAATAAATGTTTAACACATGTATTAAATTGTAATATTAAACTTTTTAACTATTGCAATTAAGTCCCTATAAATTATCAAATTCTCAAAAGTAAGCCCACAAATCAAATTCCATACTAAGATCTACCTAAGCCTCATCAAATTCAAAACACAACAATTGTCCACTGTTCATTGTTCATCCAGAAGCCCGCCGCCACCTGACCCTCGTCCGCAATCAACACCTCGACAGCCCTGCGCCACCAAACACCCCGTCGCCGCAGCCTCCGAGATATGCCGGAACAAGAAGGCCAATCGTCTACCTTGGTCTCGTCATCTTCAAGGCTTCGAGTCCGACTGCCTCACGTCCGTCTGTCTCTGGCGCGCCTCGCCTCGCCTCACCTCAGACAGCCGCGTAATTGACTCTTCTCCATCTGCCGCCGATCAATTCGTCTCCGGCCGCCGCCGCTCGATTCGCCTCCGTCCGCCGCCGTGTCATCTCGCCTCCGTCGCTGCCGCGCCGAGTTTTCTCCGCCTGGCCGAAGTTTGTGTGGAGTTCTGTGTGTGTTTGTGAGCAGACGTGTCGTGTGCGTGTGTGATGGTTTGTGGTGAGAGAAATCAGGGAGAGAGAAATTAGGATGGTTTATGGTGGGTCCCACATTAATGTGGTTGATTGTTTTATAATAACTAAAATACCCTTAATAATTAATCAAATATATACATTTGACCAATATGTGTGTTAATTTACCATATTGCCATTAATGATTGACCACAGTTTGACTTGATCATGACCATTAACTTGATGGATCAAATGGTCTGGATTTATTCTGATTTCTTTCATTATCTCCCTTTCTCATATGATCCTTTCTCTCTCTCTCTCTCTCTCTATATATATATATAGGGAAGAGTTCCTGTGAGAAAGATCTTAGTGAAAGAAATAAAAATAAATCTTAGCCATTAAATTTGATCATCCAACGGTCATAAAAAATACATCACTTGTACATTCATTAAGGGTAATTTGAACATTATACCAATACCAACTCAATTTAGTGGGACCTACCACTAACAATCACACGTCACCCCAATCTGATTTATCTCTCCCATACATACACCTACCAATCTAATTTACACCTACCACACCACACGCACATACACCAAAACACATATAAACACACACACACTTTCTCTCTCACATATACACACACTCTCTCTATCTCTCTCTCTCTCACACACACATACACACACGCATTAACACAATCACACAGTGTCGCCGCATCACCCGGGCTGTTCTCCGCCGCAGCCCCGTTGTGACTCCATCTTCGCATCGCCGCCCGGACTCGCGCCGGCACACCTTGATGAAGATGTGGTCATTGACCCTTGCGAGTAGGGCTGAGCACGTGTCTTGGAGATTACCGAACCGTATCGAAAACTGAACCGAACTTACCCCGAACCGAAAAATATCCGTTGACTGTTTGACTATCTCCGAACCGAACCGCACCGAAATTTTTTTTGGTCCGGTTCTGGAGATTCATAAAATATCCGTACCGAGAACCGAACCGACCGGACCGAACCGAAAATAACCGTACTGAACCGAGGAACCGAACAAGACCCGATTCCAATTCATAAAATCCACACACACACACACACACACACATATATATATATATATATGTTATATTTTATCATATGTATATTTTTTATCTTTGCACATAATTGTATTCAAATAAAATCTATTACAATTCATATGTATTGTACATAATTGAAAAGAAAAAAAATTAAGATATTCTTTCTATTACAAAATTTGATAGCTAACATGTCAATTATTTTATTAGGAAAATCATTCAATATAACTTAATATAATTTGAATTCCGAATGTTTGGGAAACCGACCTTTATGAAGTAAGTCTTTCACAAAACTTGGAGAAAAATTAGTTATTTAAAGGTGATATATTCTAAGATAAAAATAAATCGAAATATATCTTTACCATAATATTAGATTAAGAACGGATATATCGATTATTTTATTAATAAAATTAAATATCTTCACTTTTTGAAAACAAACTTTATATGTACTATATCCGAATCTCATGATCTCGGTAGGAAGAGATTAATTTATTTGGACATAATATATTTCCAAAATATCCTTTTACTTAACAAGTAACTATCTTTAATTTGACTATTATTGTCCATGTATGTCTTATCACTTGTGGATTTTAGCATATAAACGTTTAGCATATAAATTTTTCAAATTAAATTATGATATTTTGCAACTAAAAGATAATTATCACTTTTTTTATAAATAAAAAAATATTAACCACCTATTCTTACTATTAATTGACGAAATACCTATTGAAATTAATATGTACCATCTAAGATGCAATTAGGATATTTTTATTCAAAAAATAAAAAAATAATAAAAATTAAAAAAATAATAAAAAATAAAAAAAGTTAAAAAATCTCTGAAATCTTCGATCTGTACCGAACCGACCTATTAGAACCGAACGGTTCCGGAGATTTTTGGATCTCCGAACCGAACCGACCCGTGCTCACCCCTACTTGCGAGCCCAAGGACGAGGCCTATGATGGCCTTGAGACATGGTGCGAAAATAGGCAAAGAAAGGCCTGAGATAGCGGGAAAAGGGTGCGTACCACTAAGGCACGAGCACTAGTGAGACACGGCAACCGAGCTGCGAGGCGCGCGAGTCTAGGCCGCGCTAAAAAGAGCTACACGACAAAAAGTGCGCGCGAATGTGAGCAATGGGCTGACGATGAGTGTGAGAAGATAGTTCCTGGGAAGGTGGGTGAATGGTGCAAGGCGTGCGCGAGGGAGATGTGCGCACAGCGCATGGAGGCTAAGGCGAATGGTGCACGAGGGGTGGATGTAGGGCGGACAGCGTTCACTTGGGGCTGCGATGAGGCGGATACAGAGGCAGGGACGGGCCCGAAATGGCGCGCGCGCGGATGGACGGGGCTCAACGCGCTGGGCAGTGGACGAGTGGGAGGATGATGACGAAAGGCGAGCGTGTGCGGCAACCGCACTGGTGACGGAGACGCGCACGAAGTGATGGGCGAGTGAGAGAGAGAAGCCGAGCGAGCTGACGTGCGCGTTACTCGCACGAAGGACGAACACGCGAAGGCAATGGGGCACGAGCGCACGATGCAGGCAGGGCGCGCGCATGCAGCTGGGACGCGGGCATTACCGCGCGCAACAAGGGCTAGGCCTAGTGGGCGGCTAGGGTTTAGGTGCGTGACCGATGTGAGGGGAAAGAAAGGAGATTGGGGCGAGATTCTCTTAGCTTATTTAGGAATCATAGTTTGGTTAGCAGTTTGAATAAAGGCATGTGCTTATTAGTATTTTATTTGAGTGGAAAGTGTTGATTTGCAAGACATTTAGTTTCCTTAGGATTTTATTCTCTTTCATGTTTTAGTATTTTAGTTGGATTAGGACTAGATTTATTTAGCATCTATAAATACCCATGTACTCTTAATATTTTAGATAGATTGATGAGTTAATAGAAATTGAACGTTTTGTTCAAAGTTATCGTGTGTTTTCTCTCGTGAGTTTACATAGAGTTCGTGATAGAAATAGGACCAACATCCGAGTTTTGTCACAACTATCGTGAAGTATGAAGGCGTCGGCGCGCGTATTAGCAACCTTTCGCAAAGGAACCAAGGCGTCGGCGCGGGTTTCGAGCAAATCGAATTGGA